ATTGATTATTCAATGAAAGCCATGGAGAGTGGTAAGTGTTAAGTCCATAGTGCCAATAGCATAAACTTTAGTACTTTATGAAGTAATGTCCTCCACTCTTGAAACGTTAACAATGTCAGATGAACTTCAAATTCATGTTTCTGATGATAACATAGACTTAGATTTGGTGCTTTTTCACATTTTACTTGAGTCTTTGCACAGAAGAGACATGGATCATCAGCACTGATAATCTGACATTGTTGTTCTCTCCTTATTCGATGATCATTTTGCAGGTGCCCTGGACCCTATGTATCTAATGGACCAAATTGAACTTCAGATTTCAAAAGTTAAAGAAGAAGCTTTAAGCAGGAAAGAGATTCTTGAGAAGTTGGAGAAATGGTTGTCTGCTTGTGAAGAAGAGAGCTGGCTGGAAGAGTACAATAGGGTTGGACAACAGTTATTGTTTTTTTCCTTTTAGGCCAAGAACAACTATTATTGTTTGAATACTGTTTATATGTTCTTCTCTCACCCCTAGATTTAGTGCAATGACATTGTTTTCAAATTTTAGGATGACAATCGATACAATGCTGGTAGAGGTGCACACCTTGCTTTGAAAAGGGCTGAGAAAGCCCGTGCAGTGGTTAACAAAATTCCAGGTACAATCTTTATAATTTGATCAGTAAACAAATCTACTTCGTTCATTTGTGCTGCAATTGGGAGCTAAAAAGTATCCTGGGCCAACTATTGTGTTTGTTATAATTTAAGAGACCTAATCTACAAGTTCCATTGTTTTCTTGGATTTGGTGCAGCAATGGTAGAAGCATTGACTTCAAAAATCAAAGGTTGGGAGATAGAACATGGAACAGAGTTCTTATATGATGGAGTGAGCACTTTCCTTAGGATCCAATAGATCTTTTTTTCCCTTTTTTACCAAATTTGGTATTTGATGTCAGTACTTGCTGTTGTCAAAACATGTTTAAATTGTATGTTTTGGCCTAATACAGCACTTGCTTCAATCAGACTTCTGAACAACATCCCTTCACTTTCTGAGCAACTTGCTTATTTTATGATGTTTCTTCCTTGGCCATAAAACTAGGCACGACTTATCTCAATGCTCGAACAGTATAGCAGCCTAAGGGAAGAGAAAGAACAGGAGAAGCAAAGGCAAAGAGTATGGATTCCGTTTCTGTTCCCTAGTTGTCTTAGTCATAAGATCATTTATTTCGAGTCATATATGCAATGCTTTTTTTGTTTGTGAATTTAGGACCAAAAGAGACTAAAAGGACAGCCGATGGCAGAGCAAGAAGAACGATATGGGTCAAAATTCAGTTCTTCAAAAAGTGGAAAGAAGGTTTCTAGAACAACAACAGCTGCTACTAGTAACCGGAAATTGTCCCAGGGTGTAGCACTGCTTCAACAACCAAAACCTGAAAATCCTGCTCAATATCTGGGTTTTAATAAGAAGGGAGAATATTTGAATCCAAAGAGCTCATTAGCACAGCAGCAAACCAGTGGTCTTGCGGCCCTCTCTGGTATGTTCTCGTATATTACGACTATGTTAACAATCACTTGTTCCCTTCTAAATTTAATTGAAGACTTCCAAAATCAATCAAATGAGAAAATAATTTCAAATAAAATGATGCAGCTATATCTTTGTGAATTGATCATCCTTTCTTTAAATTTAGTATATTCAGCTGGAAAATATGGAAGACATACTGCTCATTACAAGTTCTACGTTTGAGTTTGCAGCTAGAAGGGACTCGGAGATTCCTGGCCAATTTGTAAAGAAGCATATCTCCAATCCCCCAAAGTCCGAAGTTGCATTGCCTGTCATCCGAAAGCCTCTGTCTCCTATTTCTTTCTCAGTTTTCTCCAATATCAACATTCCAAATTTTCAGGAACAGGAGAACATACATAATGGACAAAACAAATTTGGTACAGGTTGCAAGACTCCAATAGCTACACCTGCCACTGCAAAGTCAACTTTGAGAAATGAAGAGGAATATAAAACCCCCAAAACAATGCCAATTGTGGTGCCAACTACTCCTTCCACAATCTCAGCCCCCATGCTAATGGCAGCCACACCAGCCTCTCCTGTGTCTTTTGGTGCCAAAAAAGCCGAAAATACCGCGAAAGAAGTGGAATACTCGTTTGAAGAGGTGAGAGCGGGCTTTTTATGCCCCATATAATTACCATATTCCGGATCATATAATCTTTCCTTTGACTTTCCTCCCTCTTTTAACTAGTTACATTTCACAAAAAAAGAAAAAAAGAAAAAAAAAGGGTTCCCCCATTTTTTTAGTTGTCAAGGCTCACTAAGTCTAATCTATGCATGTCATGGAATTCTGCGTCAAAACCCATTTGACCCTCCTTTCGTATTTTCTACTCCTTTTAAATGCGTGCAATAGACAAAAAAAAAAAAAAAAAAAAAAAGTCATTTGATTGTTAGCTTGAAATGTTTCTGGCCTATTGTGGCTGTGATTGGTTGTATAAATGGACTGCCTGTATACATTTTTCCCCCTAGTAATTGACTGCCTGGACGATTATCAACTTACTTTAACGACTTAGCACATTCCTTCTCTATACTTTCTTTGTTTTACTGGAATTGTCTGTCCAATTGTCCATTTTTATCTCCAAGTCATTGACAATGAGTACATTTTTTTCAAACACATTGAAAAAGTTAGGGGACAAAAGGCAAATGGTGTTTAATTAAATACTACCAAATATTTGAAAAGGTTGAACCGGTGGGTCCGAGGGGACCGATGGGCATGTGGACTACGATCACATGCCTATCCGATTAGCAAGTAAACCTCGGACGTGTGTGACAATCCTACCAAACCATACCCTTTAGTCACGGTTTCAACTTTTATATATTGTCCCGCACATTAAAAAGGCTTAAATAATCACCCAATCATATTCTTCCACGTCTCATTTAGTCAACCAAACCGGTCACACACTTTAATCTAATTTGCAGAAAAAAAGTTAGCTGAATTTTTTTTAAAAAAAAACCTTTAATTTAAAGGAAAAAAAGAGTATTCCTCAAAAAAAAAAAAAATGTTCAGCATTAAATTGTACAAGTTAAATTATTAAATAAAAATAAACATTTAAAGTTGGGTACTCTTTTTTTTTATTTAACAGTTAACTGTAAAATAAAAAATTTTATTATAAATTGTGGAGGCATTATAAAATAAAAAAATTATGTGACTTGAATTAGATAGTTTAAATTATTATATAAAAATAAATTTTTATTTAATAATTTTTATAATATAATATAATTTTTTTTTGAAGAAATTCGTAAAAGATTGAATTTGAATCATTGTCTTAAAAATAAGAAAATGCACGTGGTCTGAAGTTATTAAACCTAAAGGTCAAGATCCAAGACCCAAGTGCATAATATAATATAATTTAAATTATAAAATAAAAAAACTTTTAATAAAATATGTATCTTCTGTTCTTTAATACACGCGCTCCTCTCGACTCTAAAGAGATGTTGAAATGTTTGACACTTGTGAGACTCGCCGGTGATGGAAACTACAGACCGAATCACGGTAGCCTGCCGGAGTATATATCCAATGATATTAGACAATCAGACATTAGCATAAGGGTGGGCAAAAACTGGCTTTGGTTAAATCGGTTTTAAAATAATTAAAATAATTTTTATTTTTATTTTGAGAATTGAAATCGGCCTGAAATTTTCACACACTGATCAGTTTGATTACTAATAAAAATAGTTTGATTTCATTTTTTGATAAATAAATATTAATTAATTACTTTTTTAATAATATATTATATTTTATTATATTTATCATAATTTTAATTTTCAAAAAACTTACTTTTACTTTTTGGTTTTTAAAAATTTCAATCGAAATCGAATTGAAATTTATTTGGTTAATATCAAACCAAAAAAAAAAAAAAAACCATTAAAATCGAATCAAATTCATTTTTCAATTCGATTTTCAAATAACCCATCAATTCTGTTTCAAATGCCCCGTCCTAATTAGCCTTTAACCTTCAGATGAAGCAATTCGCCAATTACTATCAACGTGAAATTTGTAACATAATATGCAAAATTTATAATACACAAATTGCTTAGTTTTATGGAATGAACTATGAAAAATATTTGAGAGATATATATTTTTTTAATAATTTTATAATATTATTTAATAATTAATTTTTTATTATTAAAATATTAATAATATTATGTACATTAATAATTTAAATATAAAAAAATTATATTAAAAAATTTTCTCCCTGTTTCAAATGGTTCAAACTTCAAAACTAAATATGAATTAAAAAATTACATAAAAAAAAAATATGAATTAAAAAATTTGGCAAGGATTACATAATTCACTGGATTTCTGATGTCATTAATGGGGTTTGGGTATTGGAGGGTTGGGAAATCAAACCCTAGAGAACAAGTCATTCGGGTTTGAATGAGAATGATTTTAAAATTTTTTCTATTTTATGGACCTACCTCAAGAGTCAAGGGTTCAATTTATTAGATTTTGAAGTCTAGAGTTTTTCTGTTTCTTTTATTAGAGGTTAAACAACCTTACGTGGCCCAATGAAAGGGGGAGTGTTGGCCGGAGAGTGCAGAAGGCGAGTGCCCCTAGCACTGCTCATTGCCAGATCGCTACTCACTGTCCCAAACTCATAATTACGTACTCTAAAAGAAAATAAATAAATAAAAGAAAAGAGAAACGTAGAATAAAAACAAAAGAAAAAAAAGACAGTGACACTTCACTGTACACCTTAAAGTGGCAAAACCGTCATTCTACCTGATTTTAGGCCATGATCCGTGCTTTATTTTTAATTTCAAAAAAAGAAAAGAAAAGACAAAAAGCAGGTCACCAAGCGTTAAAAAGGTAGGACCCGCCATTCCAGCTTTAAAATGGGAAAATCAAGATGCTGTACTTTAGCAACGCCTTTGTTTACGATTTTTTTCCCCCGTACATTGTTCATAATGTTTTTTTTTTTT